CGGAAACGCCGAGGACGCCGGTGAGTGCAGAGGACACCGCGTCACCGCGAGCTCAGAGGCTGCTGGACCCAGCCGGGGACCCCATGTCGGCAAGAGGGACAGGACGCAGGCATAGCCTGCACACAGGTCGTCGGCGTGTCCAAGACCGTCCAAGGCAGGCACGACACACTGTTTGTCCAGGGTGAGCAGAGGTGTCCGGGTGCCGATGCCGTTTCCTGAGCAGGCAGCAGCACCCAAGCCACGCCGGCTCTGGACCCCCGCCCCACTTGTGGGAACGGGGGGACCCGCGGCTACAAAGAGGCCCGTGCTCTGGCAAACAGACCAGATTTCTACAGGGAAAGTCCACTGACGTCTCAGGTCGCAGGCAATAAAAAAAAAAAAAAAAAAAAAGAAAGAAAAAATTACCAAGCCCCTGCCTTCTTGGGCTGTCCCTGTGGGACACGGGGGCTGAGGGAGCCTAAGGAGGCCGGCTGGGATGCCTGACCCGGCCCCCACCCCTGCGCCTCACACACCAGAGCCTGCTTCGGGGCCGTGAGACCGCGCCGACACCACGACTTCGGAAACCTGACAGCCGCAAGCTCATTGATGAGAACTCCCCACCGTGTCCCTGCGCCAGTGGCGAGCACGGGGCTTCCCCAGGAGCTGATCCCACCACGCTACAGGCTGAGCCCCGCGCCTGCAGGGTCTCCCTCCTGCCTCCTGCGACCCGCATGGACACGGTCCTTCAAGGCCTGAGTCCAGACAAGTGCCACAGAAGTGAGTGTGGCTGCAAAAAGGCAGCCAGGGCCAGGAGGTGGGGGGGAGGGGGACAGCCCAAAGCAGGGGTGCCCACACAGCCCAGGAAAAAGCCTCTGAAGAAGGATGTCAAGGCCAGGAGGACGGGAAGCAACGAGAACCTTGGAACACGGCTAAGGGAAGGTGAAACGGTATGGACGCTGGGCCGCGATGGGCAGTTCCTCCAAAGGTTAAAACATGGAGTCACCAAAAACCAAGCAGCTCCCCTCCTGGGCACATGCCTGGGAGAAACGAAAACGCGCGCACCAAGCTCAGGGCAGCGCTCTCTGTGACGGGCAGGACGTGGGAACGGCTCCATGTCCAGCAGCAGACAGCGGGTCAGCCAACCGTGGTGAGTCCTCAGGGGGCAGTGCTCAGGCAGACGACAGAAAGCAGCGCTGACACCCGCTCCGTCGTACACTCTGAAAACTTCATGCCCAGCAAGCGGAGCCAGACACAAAGGGCCACATACGGGATAGTGACGTGAGACGCCCCAAATAAGGAAATCCCCGGAGGCCAGAGGAGCCCCCTGACTTCAAGGCAGGGGGGCTGCAGAGGCACCTTTCTGGTTCAAGCACAAAACAGGCTCTGGAATGGACTGGTGACAGCGGCACGGTGTGCAGACATGCCAAAAACCACTAATTCGGAGCCACCGCTTCGCGGGGTGACGTGTAGGACCCGGAATGGTGTCTCAGCCTGCGTGAGCAGAGACCGTGCTGTCAGCGGCCACCCAGAGCCAGGGAGACGGCCGGGGACAGACAGCAGCCCTCCAGCTCAAGGCCCCATGGACTCCACCAGCGCGCGTGACCATGTGCTGGACCAGGAGTGGGGAGGAGACGGCAAAAGGCAGAAGCAGCGACGGCCCCACAGGCGGCACGACCTGGGGGGAAGTGGGTAGGATGGGAGCAAGGGCAAAGAGAGCCAAACTGATGGTACAGGACAGAGGGGGGCACCATGGGGCCCGGGAGAGGGTCCCCCAGACACCTCCTGTGGGAAAGGCCCCGGAGGGTGTGGCCAGCTCACCGGCTCCCCGGGACTCATGGCACAACTGTGAGGCCCTGGGGAGACCAGCGAAAAGGGGAAACCAGCTCAGAACTGACACAACTCCGACTAAGTGCGGACAAAGGCCCCGCTGGCAGACCCCCCAGGGCAAGCCGAGAGCTAGGAACCCTGCCGCTCCACTAAGTGCCTTTCCCAGGAAACAGCTTTGCCACCTCAGGTCGGGGCGGGGACGGGGGGGTGGGGAGGGTGTACCCAGCTCTCAAACCTCAGCAGCAAGAATTCACCTTCTGGGTTCATTTCTAGCAATAACATTAAGAGCAAAGAGCCAGAAACCTCCCTTGTCAAAAATCCAGCCATCTCAACCCAAACAATGAGGTGCGCAGCCCTGGCCGCCCCTTTCCAGGAGAAGGGGTGGTGACAACGGGGGTCTAACCCAGGGTTGCAGAAGAGCCACGGGGCTCTCGAGACGCGACCTGGCAGTTGCTGCAAACCTGGAGAAGCCACCCCTCGGCGTCCCCACCAGGGAGATGCTCGTGTACATTCAGGAAGGGCCACCAGCGAGGACCAAGGGCCTCAGAGTCAAGCCCAGGAGGTCCGGCCTGGAGTCCACCAGATCCCAGCCATGCTCACAGTAACACAACACAACAGTCTCCTCTTCCCAGCCTCCGTGTCCTGAGTGACCGGTGGAACTTCCCAGAGCACGACGTGTGATGACATCATCGTTCTGACCACTAAAGTGATGAACTCGGTTTCTGCTTCTCTCGGGATCTACTTAACGACGTGGTGTAAACACTGGCGTTCATAACCCCATAACCTGGAGCTCTTTGGGGGTTCCCCACCACTGTCCATCCTCCAAGGGTGAGAACCACTGTGGGGCGGCTGTTCTCAGCCCCTCCCGGGTAACATCACAAGGGCAGGGCAACCAGAGGGCCCTTGGGAAGGACCACACGCCATCCACGCATGGGGGGGGGGGGGGACATGAGCCAGGGGCAATGATGAGAAAAGAGCCTGAGAGGGTCACCTGCTGATGGGGCAAGGCTGCCCGAGTTCAGAAGCACAGACGTGTGTGGCCTTCACGGCGCACCGTGCCTGTGTCTCCCTCATATGTCCCTCCCCACGACGACGAAGCCAGGCAAGAAAGCACCCCTTCCCAGGCCCAGCCACCTTCTGCTGGAGGCATGTCGTGTGCAGAGTCACTAGGCAGATCTTCTGAAACCTGCTCTACACCAAGGAATCAACACCCCTGCGCTCGAGACTGCTCTCCCCGGCCAGACCCCCTGCCAAACGCAGCAGCACCCCGCTCCCAGCCACACTGGGCGCCCCAGAGCGTGGGGGAGCCTGGCTAGCGCCCACCTGCTGCTCCCTGTGCCACAGAGGGAGGACGCCTGCCACCCCCAAGACTGAGCTCGGCAGCCGAGAAACCTACGGGTTCCAGGCAGGTCCTCGTCCGTGGGCCCGCACATCGAACGGCATCCTGCAGAATCACCCTGTGTGCTGTTTACCAAAACGAATGCCCCTGCCAGATGCAAACGTGATGCGAAACTCCATACAGCCTTCAAGAAAAATGAAAATTCAGAGAGAACGTGTTGACAAACAAAAGTAAATTAAGTGATCGGTGTTAACGCCGGCAGAGACAAGTGTGCGTGTGCGGCTGAAACGCAACGAACACGCTGGAACTCGGAGTCACAGATTACTGGAAGGAATGTTTGCCCAGCAAAATTCTTCTCCTTTTGAGACTCCAATGCCCCACCATGCTTAATTTTCCTGACACTCCTGAGGCTTTGAAGCCTCAGCTAAGGGATCTGAATCATCTGAGCAAAACCACGCCACGGCGGCGTGTTACTGGAAAGCCGAGAATAGACGGCTAAATATACAGGCACGCGCCCGGCCCGGACCCTTCTGCAGAAGACGATCAAACGAGGAGCTGCGTGACGCTGTCCCAGGGGAGCAGGGAGCACAGCTCGCCTCCAGCGGGGAAGCAGATAGACGGACGCCTGGAAGTTCAAATAAGAAAAACGCGAAAACAGCACCGACTCCGGGTCAAGGAAAGCAAGCCGAGCCCGCCCACGACCTGAGAGCTTACTGAAACACTTCACCCGTGCCTGCGCCGGCAAAGGAAGGCTCGGCAGGACGCCAGACCTTCTCCCGGAATCCAAGTCATGCCTGTCTCACTGGACCGGCCCACGCCCACTGCTCACCTAGCGCGGCCGCCACAGGCTCCATCTGTGCCATCGCCCTTTCTTCCTAAACAAGCATGCCACTTGGAGCCACCGCCTGCTGTATTTGGGTTGGCAACGCGAGCGCCAACAGCGGGTGGCACCACGGCTCCGGCAGCGAACTAGGTCAGCCTGGACCTGCCTCGAGAGCTCCAGAAGCCCCAGTCCCCAGCTCCCGCAGCTCCCCGCGGCCCCCAGCAGCCCCCCTGGGAGCCTGGGCAGGAGCCCCCAGAGGTAAAGGCCCTGGACAGTCACATCCCTTCTTTGGCCTTGGAAAACTCGCCGGCATCTTTCTCTTCCATAAACAAGAAACAGAGCGTTCTCCAGGGCTTGCCACAGCTGCCCTGGTTGGAGAACTAGACAGATACTAAGTTACGAGGTAAAACCGGGGTAAAACCGGGGCACCAAGCCCGGAGCCAGCCTGGGTGAGCCACACACAGCCGGCCAACGCAGCCCAGCGCAGAGGACTAGCCCACCGGCCAGGGGCGGGGTCAGGAAGCCAGAACTCAGGGGTCAGGGTTCTGGGCTCAACAGTCCAGGACAAGAGATGGGGCCAGGGTCGTGGTTTGGGGCCAGTGCACAAAGGTCCTCAGATCAGGATTTGGGGACCTTGGACAGGGATTAGAATCCAAGTTTTGGGCCCTGGGTTCCCGCGGGGTTCTGAGGTCAGGGTTCAGCCTATGCAGTCTGGAGGCCAGGGATGGGGGACCTGGATTCCAAGGTTCGGGGCAGGGCTCAGGGCTCAGGGCACTGGGGGTTCAGGGTCTCAGGATTTGGGGGTACCAGGATCTGAAGGGCCCAGATTCAGCGTCCAGGTCCTGGGGTCTGAGACTCAGGGTTTCAGTCGAGAACTGGGACTCGGGGGCTCCGGGATGGGGACCGGGACCTGGGGGCCAGGTTCCGGGGGCTCGCGGATCAGAGCTGGGGCCCAGGTCCGGATCGCGGGGGCCCGGGGGCCCCAGGGCTCGGGGTCGGCGCGGGGTCGAGGTCCGGCCGCCGGGCACTTACGTCGTCGAAGAGGGAGCCCACGTTGGCCGTGACCAAAAGCACCGCGGTGCCCGGGGCGGCCGCCTTCCCCGCCATCGTGGCCTGGGCCGGCGGCGGCCGCTCGCGCGGGGCCGGCCGGTTGGGGTCTCCGCGGGCCGCGGCGTCAGCTGCGCCGGGGGGCGGCCCCGGGGCGCATCGCGGGCTCGGCGGGTCGGGCCGGGCCTGGCCGGGGTCCGGCCGCGCGCGCGCTCGCTCGCTCGCTCGCTCGCCCTCGCTGCTCCGCGGCCCCGCGCCCGTCGCTCTCCGCCCGCGCCTCACCGCGGCCCGCGCGCAGCCATTAAGATCGCCGCCGCCGAAGTTCCCGCAGCCGCTGCCGCCGCCGCCGCCGAGGCCAGTCCCGCCCGGAGCCGGGGGGCGGGGCGTGCGCGGGGCGGGGCGTGCGCGGGGCGGGGCGTGCGCGGGGCGGGGCGTGCG